TAAAAGGTTATTTTCAGAAAACTAAGCAGTTTATGAAGAAACACTATCAGGCATACTTCGGGGTTGTAGCTAAGGATGAGACGGACCTGCCAGCGTCAGAGTACTTTCGGTTTTTAAAATTCTGGGAAGTAACGGTTATTACCTCTGATATATTGACTTTATACGGTACAGTCTGGATAGTGTTTAATACAGTGGTAATATATATATATAATTTATGATAGTTTTTCAGTTTTCTAATGCAGCATTTTTAAGTCCATTAGATATGAATGAATTTCAAACAGTTGCTTAATAATTAATGAATGAGAGATGCACATCATGTAAATAATGAGCATTTTACATAAATGAATACACGTAAAAACCAAAATATAAATTTCTGTTATATTTGATAGTTTTAAAACCACATATTCTGTTTGATTTTGCACATTTTAATTACATAACAAATAAAGATTTATATGAAATTTATTGCAGATTCCAAACTTATACCCGCTTTAAAAACCTTATTTTTTCAGCAAAGTGAGTTTGTGCTCGAGTTGCTAGATTCCTACACCGTATGGTTAGGAGTCGGCTGTATATTAGCGTGGCTAAGTTTGCTGAGGTTCTTCAAGTTTCATAATAAATTCCATGTGAGTATAAAAATTGTTTTCCTCTGCAATTTAAAACTTTTGCATATGAAAGGAAAAATGTGCATAAGTAATCTGGTGAATATTTCCATTCCCATAGCGAAGTTTATATGTTTTAAGTTTTAACCTTTTAAAAAAAAAAGAAACCTATGTCTGAACTATTTGTTTGCAGTACATAAGTACGTTTATACTTCGGATTCATTATTTGATAGTACTTTTAGAGTTTATTTCATTTTTTATGCCACCGCAGCATCTGCGATGCAGTGGCATATAGCGATTCACCTGCGTGTATGTGTGTGTGTGTTTGTGTGTGTGTTTTATAGATTATATAGTGAACTTAAAAAATCTTCTTGTGAAAAACCACTAGTCCAATTTCAACCAAACTTGGCAGGATTGTTCTTTGGGTAAAGGGCTACCAAATTTGTTCAAAGAATTTCATTCCATGCAGAAATCTGGTTTTCATGGCAACCAAAAGGATTTATAAGAATAAATTTAAAAAATCTTCTTGTAAAAACCCAAAGGGCCTAGAGCTTAGATATTTTGCATAAGGTATCATTTGGTAGACCCTTACCAAGGTTGTTCAAAAAATAGCCCTTGGGTCAAAATCGGCCCCGCCCCGGGGTCATTGATTTTCGCTAAATTTACATATAGTAAAAACTTAAAACACCTTCTTGTAAAGACCCAAAAGGCCTAGAGCTTAGATATTTTGCATGAGGCATTGTCTGGTAGACCTCTACCCAGATTGTTCAAATTATAGCCCTGGGGTCAAAATCAGCCCGCCCCAGGGGTCATTGGTTTTCCTTATATGTATATAGTAAAAACTTAAAAAAAAATCTTCTAGCAATTGACAAATGCTAGAGGTTAGATATTTTGCATGAAACATTGCGTTGTAAACCTCTAGCAAGATTGTTCAAATTATAGCCCTGGGGTCAAAATTGCCCCCGCCCTAGGGGTCATTGATTTCAATATATACATATAGTAAAAAATAAGAAAATGTTATTTTCTGAAGGTACAAGGCTTAGAGCTTCAATATTTGTTAAATAATATGATCTAAAGGTACTCTACCAAAGTTGTTCAACTTTTGCCTAATGTGTCAAAATTAGCCCCGCCCTTGGGAGCCATAGGTTTATCTTATATGTATATACATGTAGTTAAAATTTAAAAAATCATCTTCTCTAAATTTACAAAGGATAGAGTTAAGAACCATTGCGTAGTGAACCTCTAAGCAAGATTGTTCAAATTATAGCCCTGGGGTCAAAATTGGTTCCGCCCCGGGCGTCATTGATTTTCATTATGTACATATCGTGAATAAACAATTTACCTGAAGGTTCAAGGCATAAGGCTTTGATGTTTGATATATAATATCATCTATAGGTCCTCTACCAAAGTTGTTCAAATGTCAAAAATTGGCCCTGTCCGGGGGCAGTGATGCTCATTATGTACACGTAGTAAAAACAGAAAATAAAACAAATGTTTTCTGAATGGGAGAAAGCTATAGCTTAGATATTTGACTTGAAATGTTGTTTCGTGGACCTGTATCAAGATTGTTATTAAACCCTTGGGTCAAACTTATGCCTTGCCCAAGGGGACAGTGAACTTCTTTCTTGTCCTTTGATGTACATTTTGACCATGTGCACAGTTTTAGTTGTAAAATTGAACTTTGACCTAGATTTTGATGATGTGACCTACTTTCTTGTCCTTTGATGTACAGCTATGAAATTTAAACCATGCGGTGGCATAGCATTTTTCTCTTGTTTATTATTTCAGCTGCTATTTAATACACTATACAGAGCATTTTGGGATGTGATTGCCTACCTTTTTTGTGTAGGTGTGCTATTTGTCGGGTTCTGGGTTGGTGGATATGTCGTCATGGCGCCGTACCATGTCAAGGTTTGCCGAACCCATATCTTTTACTCATCACACATATAGAACTCTTCTTTCGATTACATTTTCTTTGTCAATCAAATCACAACTTTGTCATAAATAAAACATTTGGCCCTAAGATTTAGCAAAACCTCAGCATAAAGTGTTGGATCAATTGTTTACGAGTATTCGACATAAAAAGTCCTAATATTCATCATGGCCGATTTTAGCACGATTACATTTTCTTTGTCAATCAAATCACAACTTTGTCATAAATAAAACATTTGGCCCTAAGATTTAGCAAAACCTCAGCATAAAGTGTTGGATCAATTGTTTACCAGTATTCGACATAAAAAGTCCTAATATTCATCATGGCCGATTTTAGCACGGGGTAACGGCGATTACTTTATTTATTTTTTCTCTCTTTGTAGTTCAAAACCCCGACAGCAGCAGCGGAGACGCTGTTTTCTGTTGTTAACGGCGACGAGATATACGCTACCCTAGCAATACTGGAGTCGGATAAGAGCGGGGGTAACTGGGTGTGGTGGTTTTCAAGGTTCTATCTCGGATCATATGTTGCTATATTTACTATAGTTGGCATTAACCTCCTTATATCTCTTTTCAATAGCGCCTATGATTCTATAAGGGTTCGTATACCACCACTGTACCATTTTATAGACTCATCTTCTTAAAGCGACAGGTTGTAGGCCAACTAAACTAATTTTAAAATTACTTGACAGAGAGAAAAATTAGGGTTTAAAAATTTGGGTAAAACGATGCTATACACCCATAAACATATTAAATGAAAATTTTTTAGAATTTATAAAATTATTTTGTTATCATATATGCATACACTAGAAAACTTTTAAATTACATAACCTTAGCAGAAATAAGTGCTTATTTAAATAATTTTTGTATCAGTCGTTTAACACAATTTTACATCAAAACTGCCTGACAAAGATAAATAAAAATTATGAAAGAGCTATATTGGATCTATTCATTTCTTTCATCACCAAAATATATTAATTTTTAATCTTTTTACAGAAGTATTATGACGACAAACCGGATGAACGAACATTGGGTCGGTTAGAGAAAGCTTTGCGTCGAGTTATAGTTCAAGACGGTGAGGGAAACAATCTGCGGAGCTCGATTTATGACCTTATGAATGACAGTTTACCCCTAACACCAGAAATAAAATCTCTGAAAACTGAACTTTCAAAAATTGTTCGCGTTTTTAAAACCGAGAATGACCTCGTGCTTCTGAAACCGAGGACTCTGAAAGTGTTTATGGAAGATGAAGAGCACCAAATGAAGAAATATAAATGCGGGTTTGTGAGCTGCTCCTTCACGTTTTTTGCAACCGATGACCAGATTACAAAAGACGATGTCTGAACAGAAACAGAAAGACGATCGTTAACAAGCAGACAGTTACACATACTATGATCGATGATAAGATAACAATGATATTGACATTCATCTACATTTAGTCTTTCCTTACAGTTATTGTTGTAAAACTAATAAATATACCTTTTTATCATAACCTAACAAAAAAACAATGTGATTATATAAATCATATTCATATGCGGTAACTAACATCGTAATTACCAATTTAACAAGAAGTATGATTATCATTATGCCCCCACAAAGTGGCAGCATATAGCGTTGCATTTGTCCGTCCGTCTGTCCGTCCGTACGTCTTCGGTCCGTCCGTCTGTACATAAGTCCTGAAATCTTGTGAACGCAACTCCTCTTAAACCGGATGACAGATTTTGCTTAAACTTCCAGGGATGAACAACCTTACTGTGTAGATGATAGTAAAGGAAGAAATTGTCGTTGCGACCAAATTTAAGAGAATTATGGTCCTTTGTTGATTTTTTTTTCACTATATACTATGTAGAAATTTTGTGAACGCAACTCCTCTTAAACCGGATGGCAGATTTTGCTTAAACTTCCAAGGATGAACAACCTTAATGTGTAGATGGTAGTAAATTAAGGAAGTTTTGCTGCGACCAAATTTAAAAGAATTATTGCCCTTTGATGATTTTTTAACCATATACGATGTAGAAATTTTGTGAACGCAACTCCTCTTAAACCAGATGGCATATTTTGCTTAAACTTCCAGGGATGAACAGCCTGAATGTGTAGATAGTAGTAAAGGAAGGAATTTTTGCTGTGACCAAATTTAACTGAATTATGGCCCTTTGTTGGTTTTTAGTTTTCAACTTGAGGCACATGCAGTCCAAATAATATTTGACCTAGAGTCATATGATTGACAGAACAGTGGCGTGTGGGGGCATCCGTGTCCTATGGACATATTTCTAGTTTTTCATTTGTTTTCGGAGGATTAATGTAAGAGTTGTTATAAATAATTATTGGGTAAATTATTATCCAGATTTAATAAACCGCTTTCTAATAACGTGTTTTGATCGTGTTAGTGTTGTTACCTTGAAAATGTGGCTATGAAAATCAAAACGAAACACGGACATGATATTGTTTAGTCACTCATTTGATTTGATTTTTACCAAAGTAATAAAATAGAAGTAATCTTACAATTTTCAAAATCTAGGGATATACTTATGTTTAAATTATCAAATCTTCCATGGTCCTAATGAGAAAGAAAAAATGCCGAAATACGTGATAATTATATAATTCATACAAATATGCTTTACTGAATTCACAGATAAGTAAGACAAAACATATTAAAAAATTCGTTTCTACGCATATTTCATGTCAAACGTCTCAGGCAGCAGTAGTTTATAATTAATTTATTTTCTAGCGAGTGTTCGAGATTTTCAGATTTCACATTATTTCTAATAATGCATATTTATCTGCTTTGAAATAAAAGTAGTTCCATTAAGAAAAAACATCTGTGTGCATGAAATGTATTTATACATGTTTTATAATATTTCAGCTGCAAAGTTGCTTTGGTACAAAATGTACAACCATAAATAGCTTTCTCAATATTTACCGTTTACCATATCTTAATATATGATACTGAACAACACCTTTATTTCATATATCTTATCTGATAAAGAAATTGGCCAAACTGCAGATAATATTTTTTTAACATACATACATACATTCATTCATACATACCTCCTACCTACCTACCTGACTGCCTGCTTGCCTGCCTGCCTGCCTACATATACACTCATGTATGTATGTATGTATGTATGTATGTATGTATTAGAAGAAAAAATTATGTAAAAATATAAAAACTTATTTTTTTTTTATTTTTTTTTTAAATTGTTAATTTGTTTGCTTGTAGAAAAAAAAATATGAAAAAGTCTAGCGTTGCCCCCGCCCGGCGGTGCCTCTTGTTTTAATCATAAGCCAATAGTTGAGACTTATGCATAAATATATGCTCATGCAATGACTTGAAATAACTAAATAAGGAAAGTTAAGGACAGATTACACGAAAACGAGGTCGGTGACCCCATCCCGCCATCCCACAATTCTTTTTGCTTAAAATAAAATGTTTCTGATACCATCATTTAATACCATGCGATGTTTAAATGAATTCTATTCTGTATTTTTACAGTTTATATACCCGACCCTTGCATACTTATTCAGTTGACGTGTTTTCCACCTTTTTGTCACCTTTTATGCATAAATTGTTTCGAAAACTTAATACGATACTTTATTCGATTCTGTATGTTCCGATTATATTCAACCATTATCATATTACATTGAGCAGCTAATTTAATTAACTACAGTTCCTTTAAAAATTAACTGTAGTGGAACATTTGACCGATGCACAAAAGAGAATCAATCAAAGTAGTCTGAAGTCCTGATGGGCGTTGGATTTCTTTTTCTTTATGGTTAAACTGCAGCACTATGCGATGTTATTTCTAACATCGTGATCAGTTTTATGAATTTTTTAAGTAAACACAATCTGAAAGGAAATTATTTTGAAGCTAGAATGGATTCATGATATCAATTGCTTTAATGAGTTACTCATCTTGAAAAATAATTGCCATGTACTGTTTGAGAAAATCACAAATTTACCTTAAGATTTTTTTCTGTTTGAAAATTCAAGGAAAATTGATGTGCACACTAAGTAAAATAATTTTAGAAAAGCTCCGATATTATCTAAAATTTGATCATAAACCTAAGTCCAGTGAAACATTCAAGATAGTTAGTACAGTATATTTTACTTGTTTAATTCTTATTTTTTAAAAGTGCGTGGACGTTAAAAACTCCTCATACATATCGTATATTACAGTACGATTGAATGAAAGAAACTACGAACGCATGAGTCAACGCAATAAAAAAATATACTTGTGTTTTCTTTATTTAGGAAATAAATATCAATATTGAGTGCATTATTGTAGAATAATGCAGGGTTCGAGTTCAGATTCTATTCTCACCTTTGACAAGACTATTGCCCTTTTATTTGTCACTTAACCCGTCCGCCTTTAGATCTTTAAAAGTAGAGCAGTTGGAACTTATTACAAATGCATACACTGATAAGGATAATGTTTTAGGTGTCCGGGAAAGTACTAAGGTAACGATGGACAGAGTAAATAGAACATGGTTTCACAATGTCCTGACGGTCGTATACTCTAATTCGCTCCAGTTTTATAAAATATTCAATTTTCTTTGCTGCGCGTATTTAAAACATATTCTTTCGTAATTCCTTTAAAAATCATGATGATTTCTATGTATTAAGAAAGAAATTACTTCAGTGATAACATTTCATTGTTACATGTTCGGTTACATGCTCGGTTAGGAACTATATCCCTCAAACATTTTTTTATCTTGAATTGTTTCTGGTGTTCCTATTTTTTGGGCGTCGACCCAAAAATTGATTCAATCTTCCGTGACCAGAGACCCAAAACAACACATTTCGTTCCTCTGACAAAAAATACCTGCAAATATATAGGCTAAAATAACACCGCCTTTACTTTAGCAATTCCCTATACATGCAAAATAATACAAAGAAACATATGCCCAACTTAGTAGCTGTTTTTTGTTTGTGCTTCAAAGTCTGTACCCTACATTTAAATCACTTGTTTTTCCCTTGCATGCTTTCAAAATCTTACAAAAATGGCGGCCTTGACATCTATGATCAACAGCCTAACATTGTGAATTCTGACCATGTTTTGAAATTTGCAAGTGATCTTTTTTTAATGTTGCAAATGCAAATAATTTTACGCAATTTAAAGACAATTATTCATTTAAGTCCAGAATGGTCACTACATCAAAAAAAAAAGAAGAAAAATGCTTCCTGTGGCCTCTGATACCTTACCATGAGCGAGAAGAAAAAATGAGATCTGCAAACATTTGGTTCATTTCACAACATTTGTCATTTTGCTATTAATTGTTAAAGACCCTGAATGTTCTGTGATTGATATTGTTACTGTGTTTATACCACACTAAAAAAATATTATATATGTATATAATTATGCAAATAAAACAATTTTCAAAGAAGAATATGTAAAATGTGATCTGTAAACATTTGTGCGTATTCTAACATCAACAATCCTAAAAATGTAATGTGTACGCGCGTCTCTTTTGTTTCCAAAAAAGTATTCCTTTTTTTTTTTAAATGGTAGCTATGAGTATAAACACGGCAGAATTCTGGCAACGATCAGTACTTGGACACCCGACTAAGAATAATTTAACATGTCAAAATAAATTGTCTTTATATGTTTAAAAATGTTTTTTTTTTTTGTTTGATATCTTCTTAGTCACCTTTAAATGATAGAACGGCCTATGTCGGACCACAGGAATCTAACATTTATCAGTAAAGTTCGATTCTCGTGTATATACGTATGTATAAGAATATCACAAGTATATACTTATTACTTATTTTATAGGTACAGGGGTAAATTTTCTTTCAAACATGAGAAACAAATACCAGCACCCCTCCCTCTAAAAAAGTGTCTACAAAAGTGAAATTGATATCCCATTTTCTATATCGTCAGCTTATTTGTCAGCAGTTAGAGCCGCCCAATACGATAATACGATGGCGACAGTGCGAAAACGCGATGACGCCAGTGCGAAAATGCGATGACGACAATGCGACAGTAAGAAATCGCGATAACATTAGAACGATTCTGCGATGCCGATGACGCGATGGTATTATCGCGTTATCGTATGGTTCCTGTTTCAGTATCGCTTTGTTGCCATCGCACTTTTTTTGATAACCTCAATGAAGAAATCCGTAAATATAGTGACCTAGGGCATGTTTATTGTACGGGAGATTATAATGCGAGGACGGGTGAGAAACCCGATTACGTAGACAATATTAACTTGGACCGGTATGTAGTTCTCCCACCGGAAGTGGAAGAAAGCACCACAACACGTAAATATACGGACACTCATGTGAACTCTTTTGGAAACAAATTATTGTCAATGTGTAAAGAAAATAACCTGCGTATTGTTAATGGCCGGCTAGAATCCGGCAATTGTACTTTTCATTCTAAATATAGAAACAGATCGACACAGAGTACAGTAGACTATTTAATAACAAAGTTTGAGAATTTTTCATCTTTAAATGATGTATGTGTTATGGACATGACTGAGTTTTCTGATCAATGCCCAATTTCTTTTTCAAAAAGCTATAAAAATGATTTAAATATTAATTATACCAGACCTGAAAAACAACAAAAAATTATATGGAACAGCGATGAAACAGAATCTTTTTTAAATCTCCTGGAGGCAAAAAGGCATATATTTGACAATTTGTCACAAAACTTGTGTCGGGCGAAACTGATGTGATAATTGTGTAAATTCTTTGTCCGACGAAATTTTTGAAATCTCTTTTAAGTGCTTTGGGAAAACATTTTGTCAAAAGCCTTGTAAAAAGGTTAAAAAAGCTGCCTGGTTTAATGTGAATTGCAGCAATGCTGAAGCAGATTTTCTGAATAAAAAAGAGCCTTTAATGTAAATAAGTGTAATGATAATAAGTTGTTATTCTTGTCAAGTAGACGGGAATATATAAAGGTTAAGAGACGAGCAAAAGCGATATTTGACTTTAAAGAAAAAAATAATATGTCACAAATGTCAAAAACCTCACCGCGTAAGTTTTGGAAGTATATAAATAAATTCAAACGTAGCCCGTCTGATAGAAACAACTTAGATTCAGATAGTTTTGTTAACCATTTGTTAACCATTTTTCAAATTTTTCTAATTTGCAGCACAGTAATTTTAATGCAGACGATTTTATTCAGTCACGTGATGCACCGTTATATATTGAACAGTTAGATTGTTCGATCAGTGTGGAGGAAGTGTCGAAAACTATATCTTCGTTGAATAGAAATAAGAGTGCTGATTATTTAAATATTGTTGCTGACTTTTTCATTGATGCTAATATATTTATAAGCCCATATTTGTGTACTATTTTCAATAAAATCTTTGAGACTGGCATTTACCCAGAAGCATGGTGTAAAGGGGTAATTGTACCTATTTATAAGA